GTGACAGAGTTCTTAGTCCCCCTGCCTTCTGCTGGGGACTGAAGCAAGCTCGTGCGAAATTAGGCCCCAGGGAGAAGGACTAACCTCCCCACTTCTACAGGACCAGGTAGAACAAGCCCCAGCAGATGCTGGGAAAGGGGAGACCAATGACAAGGCCTGAGGACCACCCTTATACTCACTCAATAACTTTGCACTGCCTGCAAATATTCCAGGAGAAATACAAAAGACAGAAGTTCCCTATAATCTACCTCCACCAGTACCCTCCAGCCTTCTAAACAGTGTCCGGTTAACAAGGTGCAAGCTTAGAGTGATCTGGCCAGAGGAACATAAAGTGACCAGAAGTATACAGGAGGGTTGATGGGGCTGGAAAGTCAAGGTTGCCCTGTGAGAGGGAGAGAAAACGCCCCTGCTGGCTTCTTGATAGAAGGAACCTGGGGACTTTTAAGTTGTTTGCTGTGGGGTGTGTGCTGTAAAGGCCCTCTGTCAAATCTTCAGTAAGGCTACATGGCTCCCTAGAGCATCTACGTGGGTGGCTTCAAAGGGGAGGTGGGACAAACATGGAAATAGCACGCAGGAGCTGTGGAGCATAGGAGGGGGGAGAGCTGACAGCTCAGTCACACTTAAAATAGCTAGAGACTAACTTTTGAGCTAAATCAAACATCATCTCATTTCAGGCGCATATAGACACATTGCAGGCACTGACAGGTTAAGAATTGTTACTGGAACTGCATGCCATCGTTAACAGGCCTGGGAGGACCACACTTTAGACTTGGAAGCTCCAGCCAAAGAGTGGAAGCAATTTGAGAGCAATTTGGGTTGGCAAAAATACAGGTTCGAAAAGAAAATCCACATCAACTCCAGGTGGCCCTAGAGTCCCACTCTCCACACAGTCCTGTGGCCACAGCACACAGGTTAGCAAGTACAGAAAGCTTGGCCCACAGTGGAAGAGTGCCTCTGAGCCCCAGCCTCACACAGAGGCCACCACAGAATGCACTGACCCAAGGCAGATACTCCCAGGAAGAACATGCAGATGACACGTTTGCCTCCAGAAGTATAAGCATAATCACACTAGGCTCCATGCCTCACCATGGAAAGCCATAGTGGGTTCCAATGGATTCCAGGGCAGCGTGCCCCACTCATGCCCAGGTCGATGAGCACCTGACAAGCTGCAGGTGGTAGGGTTAGTGGCTGTGGCCTTAGGCCTGCCAGTGTTGCAGAGACCATGCCTTGAACTTGAGATACCTAGTCCTGTACAAGTCCCTTCTCATGCCCAGGACTTGTCCTTCCTTGCAGCAGCTATTGTGCTTTTAGCAATTTATGAAACTAATATCTCAATATCTGGACAGCTGAGTCCAGGAGTCAGGCACCGTGCCCAGTACAGCCCTCCATGTGCCTACTTCCCAGCACCTATCCTCTAGACTCATAGGGTATGCAGGCAAGGTAGCTGGGCCGGTGCCTTCACAGGGAGAGATGCCCTTGTTCTCAAAAGCCCAGCAAAGGCCAAAGCAGCCCTGCCCCCTGCCCAGGGACAGAGCCGAGAGAGCCCAGAGTCCTAACTCTTGCAGCCTGGGCCCAAGGGATAGAAACTCAGCTCCAGGCACCTCACTGACCCAGGACAGATGCCTCAAGCCAGCATCTGCCTGAGCGCTTTAGGGGCAAGGAGTTCCCAAATACATGAACTTGAGACTTATCCTTCCATAAGTCATGTTACCTGGGGCTGCCCGGAGAGGGATGGGGTTAGGAGGGGCAAGGCCACAGAGCCTGAGTCCAGGCACTTACCTTGACCTTCGCAAAGCTTCTTCATCAGGGTCTTGCACTGTGGGTAGAAAGTTGTTGGTCAGGAGGAATCACAAGGAACAAAAGGAAGAAAAGTCGCTAGAGCTCTGTGGACACTGAGTACCCACTAATAACTGAACAGTTACTGCTCCCTAGTCTGTAAACTAGGAAGGGAAAGGCTGTGTGCTGGGCAGAGAAAGGGGACATGAGAGGAAATGGTGCAGTTGGGTGGGAGTGGTCAAAGGTATGTCCTGAGAGGTCCTCTTACCCCAGCTCTGGGCAGTAATTTCACCTGGAATCCCCGTGGCAAGACTGCTGCCTGCTGTTGGGTCAGAGAACTGAGCAGAAGAAGGCAGATGTCATTTGCTTGCCCCAGGGGCCCAGGAGGGGCTCAGCAGGCTGATATTTGTCAAGGCCAGCACATCTTAAAGGGTAGGAGGACTTGATTCCCTAGCTTCTGTGGGAGTGTGATCTCTCAGCATCTTTCCTTTTTGCCCCCACCTCGCCACAGCCCTCACTTACTGTATTCTGTCCCTGTCATCTGGGCCAGGATACGGAAGGAGCGAGACTGCAGGTTGGAGGAGCGGCGGGCCCACTCATCAGCCTCATCTTCCGGCTTGTTCTGGTTCTTAATCACAGCCTGATACACAGGAGAGGCGCTGTCTACAGTAAGATCTTTAACAGGAAGGCTCCTGCAATGCAGAAAAAGGCTGTGGGCGAGGGCTACTCTGGAACCCTGCTCCCTATCCCTCGCGTTCTCCCCATGTTGCGTCCCTCTGGCACTCCTTGCACTCCCAGTCCCATGACGGCCCCTATTTGTCCGAACCCACCATGCCCTTTACGCACTGCCATCTGAGAACCTGGGGCAAGGGCTTGGCTGGGTCCTTAGTGCTCATGGTGGTCACAGTGGGACAGTGATTTCTCTTATGAAGGATTAGGAAGCTGAGATCCCTCTTGCCATACTAACTCAGACGTAGGACTGAAGATACCCACCGCCCCGTCTCAGGGGCCAGATCTCCTTTAAGGAGAAAGGAGGCAGAACTTATCTTCTTGAAGTAATTTCCCTCTCCCTGAGCAGGTCCTGAGTTTGGGGCTATGTGATGACAGGCCATCGGGGGGACCCAGAGACTCCTTAAGGCAATTCCTTGTCCTCCTCACACCTTTGGATCCAAACAGGAAGCTGCCAACGCCGTGACTGCTCTAGAAGAGGACTGGGGACTCCCGCTCAGCTACAACCAGGCAGGCACGGTCGGGGGGCTGGTGTGAGGAATTGGGCAACAAGGCCACACAGCCAGGATCGCTTGCAGACAAGGGAATTCTGGCCTGGGGGAGCTGAGAGTAGAGATGCAGGAGGGTAATTTGGTCTCTGCCCTAGCCTATTGAGGGGGGCCTGGTGACCTTTTAAAATCCCCGGGTCTGGCACATAATAGGTGCTCAAAACTTAGTTGAATGAATGAATCCTAGATCAGAACCAGAAGAGAACCCAGAGCCCCTTGGTCCAGTGCCTCCCAACCCAGCCCAGACTGCAAGGAGGCTCTATCTAAAGCTTTTATATATCCCAGCCCACGTACCCTGGCCAGCGAGGGCTGGAGGATGCAGGACGCCCAGCTACCCTGTCAGGAGTCAGGATGGACTCAGGTGGAGTTCACAGCAAGAATAACCCATCTCCCCAGACTGTGGGTCAGCGGCCCAGCCCTCTCCTCTTACATATGCTGAAAACGAGGTCCCACAAGGTTGGCTGATTACAGCATACAGAGACCCCTCTGAATTAGAATCCAGGCATCCCAGCTCCCAGCCCAGTGGCCTTTCCATCAGACCCTCTGTAGTGACAAGGGCTCAGAAAAGCCACTTCTGCCCACTGGAGCCTTGTACACCCCAGAGGCTCTGTGCCTGCAGACTTGGCGCAGCCTAGACACTCATTCTTTCCAGCATTCCCTGCCTGCCTCTATGGCTGCTTCTACCTGCTCCCTACCCAGGACTGGCTGGATTGGGGAGGGGCTTCCTCAGTGCCCATGTCTTCTACCCTCTCTGCAAAGAGCTGGATGGAAGCACTGGCCTAGTTTCCCAGGACTGGAGTCTCTCAGGATTGGTGCTCTGTGTCTGGCTCAGGATGGGTTATGACAGCAAAGGTGGAGAAAGGCAACAAAAGGTGATGAAGGCTGGGTACAGCAGAGCTGCCCCTACTTCCCTGAAGGCAATGCCCTGGCCCAAGAGCTACAGGTACTGGCAGCCTGTGGTTGAGACCTCATGGGAAAAACCAATAGATCTGTCTGGGGTCCAGGCAGGAAGGAGCCTGGGGTTACCCAGGAGCAGAGGAGTGGGTAGGATCTCACTGAGGGAGGGCATTTCTGGCACAGGGAAGTCTCCCAAGGATTCCCAAAGCAGATGCTGGACCTACTGTCTTTGGGTGAGATGGGCAATGGGAAGAAACAACCAGGACTTCCTGGCCTGCTTGGAGGAAGTGTGGCCTGTGCTGTGGGTGAGGCAAGATGTAGACTCAAGCCCAGGCCCTGCCTGTGAGCCTGCCTACACTGAGCTTTGTGGTCCAGAAAACAGACAGAAGGTGTTTACTGCCATTTCCTTGGAACATGCCCTGGAGGTGCTGCCCTGTCCTTCCCCGGGCTCCAGAAAGCTGCCAAGAGTGAGTCCCTTGGGACTCACATTATTGGTTCATTTTCCACCACACTGTGCAAAAACCAGGGACTGGTGCTGCCACAACAGAGATTGGGAGGCCAAAGAAAGAACTGCTGTGCTTTTTTTAAGATTCTGGGGCTCAGGGAGAATATGTACAGAAAGAGGGTGGAACAATTCTGGGACCCTGGGTCCGAGGCCATTCTCTGGAGCTGCTTCCAGCATGGTCTTCTTGCCACCAAAAACACTCCATGGTCACCACATCAAGGTCACCTTGAGACATTTACTTCACTGTATACTGCCCCCACATCTGACACATCTTTTGCCTCCCTTGGGTGGTCTTAGCAAGCACAAGCTCTTCCAGATCCATCTTCCATGAGGATTCCAGGTAGTGGCCTCTAAGAGGCCTCCTTATCACCCTCTCCCTTGAATAATGGCCCAGTGTGGATGTTGACATTCAGGTCTACACTGTCCCAGTACAGACAGAAAAGGCTGGAGGAAACACCCGCAAAGCACGGCAAGAACACTCCAGCCTTGGGGTGTCAACACGAGTGTTATTACTCTCATCTGTGTCCATAGTGACATTATTTGGGGCAAACCCCAAAAGACAAGCCTGTATAAGCTGCAGGGCATGCCGTCTGGCTGTTAGGTGGGTATAAGGAAGAACGCAAAGGCACTGTCCTCAAACACATCCCACCAAACCCACACACCATCCCACAACTAGACAGACAGACAACAGAACAGACACTGTGGGGTCTACTTACGCCAGTGGCGATGCCCTGCCAAGCAGAAGAAAGCCCAGCAGGGAGTGCGTGTCCATCAAGGGATGGCAGAGGGGTGGCGCACACACAAGGGAGCAGGGTTAGGATCAGAAATGAGTTATGGGAGTGGAGTGGATGAAAGAGGAAGAAAGAGAGACAAAAAGAAAACTGTCAGTGAGGAAGGAATCATGGAAATTAACAGCAGAAACGGAGCACCTTATGGCAGAGAGAGGCAGCTCTTACCCACAGGTACCACACAGCACCAGTCTAGCAGGGCTGAGTTAGAAGAAAGGGGAAAGCATGTTGCTCCCCAGGATTGCAGGGAAAGGGAAAGGAAGGGGAGGCGAGGATAAAGGAGGGGAGGGGAGAGGACGGGCAGGAGATAGCAAAGGTCCTTTGAGAAGACTAGATTAGATCAATGGTGCATCATGTTAAAAAAATCTCAGGTTGCTTAGTGGTAAAACCAAATGATAATAGTCTTTTCCAAAGGTGCAGAAAATAGAGTGAAGAGCAGTTCTTCCATTATCTTCCACTGACCTTCCCTTTGGTGACCACTTTTAGGAGCACATCAAGGACATACTTGTTACATTCTGTGGCAAACAAATGTTAGCAGGAAATCCCTGTTAGCTCTTTGGCTTATTCAGGCAGCCTTGTTTTTCTTGGTACACATGAGATAAGGGTTGTGTTTTTAAACTTGCATGGTCATATATTCTATTTCGAATGACAGAATTAAATAAATGAACATCGTGTCTAGTTCTGCTAAGAGCTGCAGCCGTGAGCCTGGCCAGTTTGAGATCCAGGGCTCCAAGGCAAGTAACCTCTGTCCCCTAGTGGTCCAAAGGAAGCACTGCATGCCTGAGAGGGCCAGGCTTCCTGGGACTAGGATAGCCCTGAAGTCTACATAACCTTTCATCCTTTGGCCTCTGGAGCTTCCCCCTATAAACCACATGCACATCGTGGCCATAAGGGCTCAGTTCTGGAAAGGCCAAATGCTATAGGAACTTTCTGGGACTTTTTAACCCCTTGATTCTTTTTAAAACATGTTTTTCTTAGCTTCGGAAAAAAAAGTACAACTATCTTTTCAAGTTTTCTTGCCTTGAGTTACTGGAGATACTGACTCAGGGATAAGATGTTGTCCAAAGAGGTAGTCAGTCCTGAAAGTCAACCCTAATGGTATTCCCAAGTAGAAAACAGTGAGAGACTCTGTGTGTGTGTGTGTGTGTGTGTGTGTGTGTGTGTGTGTGTGTGAAAGGAAGAGAGAGACAACAGAAAGACAGAGACAGAGAGACAAAGACAGAGAGACAGCATACAGAGTGACAGAGACAGGCACAAACAAAGACATACGGAGAGAGAGAGAAACTAAAACAGAAAGACACGAAGAGGAAGAGGTCCCCACA